GAGTACACACCCACACACACACACACACACACACCACACACACCACACACACACACACACACACACACACACACACACACACACACACACACACACACACACAGAGCTTGTTAGAATGTCAGGACGGTCGTCAGAATGATATTGTGTTGAGAAGACAGATGTCAGCTCGTCTGGTTCTGTCAGTCAGCCAGGGAGAAGGTTAGATGTAGTGGGATATTTAGTCAGGCAGCCGCCAGTGCCCGTCGCTCGGCACGAGGACGACGTGATATAAAAATGATACACTACATGATATAAAAGAATTTGAACGTAAGGAATATTTATATTGTAACGCCATAGGAACAACAAGGGTGTATTAGACAGGGCATAATAGCTAGTCCTAGTAATAGAGATGATTATATTTATAGTAATATAGTAAATGTTATAGTAATATAGTAATTATATATATATATGAGAGAGAGAGAGAGAGAGAGAGAGAGAGAGAGAGAGAGAGAGAGAGAGAGAGAGAGATTTTTTAAATACATTACATTCAAATTTTCGTGTCAACCCATGCTATCAAGGACACCGTAAACCTTCACACAGGTATAAAGAAGTCGATGAACTTCGACCTTGAATATAAAGATTACCCTCCCGACGACCTCCTCAGTCTGTAAGCTGAAGAGGACCATCCAGTCCCATATTCCTTATCACTTAACCCTCCCTCCAGTCGGGGGAACGCCCCGCTCTACCTGTTTTTGGTATAACTATGATAAATTTAACGTCGACGCGTAAAGAGCCTCCAAGAAAGGGGTCGCACTTTTCAAATCTACAAGTCTAGGCTGCGGCGGAAAGGGGTGCAGAGGGGAGACGGGTGATATTAATAATCAGTAGATGAGGGGAGGGTCCAGGTATGGGGGGGGGGCAGAGAGAGAGGGGTGATGATGGGGGGTGGATCACACTGGGAGGGAAGAGGGGAGTGTCGTAATTAAGGAAGAGTTTTACTTTTTCATTTAGTGTGTTTGCTAAAGCTCTGCCTGGTGCCTCGCGGCGCCCCTGGACTGGTGGTGGTGGTGGTGGTCGTGGGGGGGGGGGTGGTGATGGTAGGAGCACCATGGTGGTGGTGGGGTGGGGGGGGGTGATGGTAGGAGCACCATGGTGGTGGTGGCCACCATGGTAATTTTGACGTATTAAATCCCCCAACGTCAAAATATGATGTATTATAAATCATAGCGGCTCGTAAAATCGACGGGCTGTTCTGTTTTCTAGAGGCAGCGATGGTGCCTAAGTTGTTGTGGTAGCGATGTATGAGCAATGGCAGCAACCATAATATATATATTGCTAATATCTGGTTATAGTGCTGACGAGGAGTCACAATAACGTGGCTGAAGATATGATGACCAACCCCACACGTCTGAAAATGACAAATCGTCGTGGTTTTCGAACATTATCGTTTGGCGATAATGTTCGCTGGAACAGGCTGCGGGCGCAGACTTCTGTATTCAGCCCGTCCTCCTAATGTTTCCCAAAGTCAAGAAAACAGTTAATTTAAAGTGGTCTCTCCTAACCTACCAGAGGACCCAAAACAGAAAACGGGGCAGTACGTCACTTTCGCCAGCCGCTTCCATTTTCTAGTACGAAAAGTTTTGGCCTTATGTAACGCATACGCGCGAAATGCGACGTTCTTGGTAAGAGAACAGGTTGCTATAGTTGGCCTGAGCAAATCCACAATTCAATATTATATTTTCTTTTTGCAAAAATATATATATATATATATATATATATATATATATATATATATATATATATATATATATATATAATAGTTTCGGAATGGTTAATATTTTATTTTGTAAGTGTAAATTACTTATAATAGTGACATATGGTGAAGGTCTTCCTCTACGTTGCTTTAATATATTTTAATAGTTTGGTTCATGTATTTGTGTACGTATTTCCCTTATTGTTGAACTATATCCAGGTTCGACCTTCGGGAGCTGATGTTACATAATTAATGTGTCATTACAGGCATATATTTTTTATTGTGATAATTAGTGTCATTTCATATGTCAGAAAATATATTATACATGTCTTTCTGATCCCGTATTGGTATCACAAGTGAACTTCACCGCGTTCTCTTGTTCCACATTCCTCCCATACTTAGTATATTTCCATGTTTATAGGAGGCCTGGTCGACGACCGGGCCGCGGGGACACTAAGCCCCGGAAGCACCTCAAGGTAGATATAAGTGTTTCATTCAGGCACTGATGTGATAGACATACTTTAATTATTTTCTCTCTCTCTCGCAGACATCATGGCTTGGACCAGAAACCATCCCTCCAGTCAGCCGATAAATCTCAAATGATCGAAACGAAGAACGGAGGTAAGGACCTCCTGTTTCCTCCTTTTATCAGTGTTTTGCTCGTTTTATTGCTCTATTTACTCATCGTCTCTGTAAATGACCTTCAAATGTGACTATTATTATATTTCCACGGGCCAAGAAGTGGGTCTATAGTTTGGCGCGAGGTGTCAGAAAGCGGTTAGGCTTAGAGTATATTATTTAACCTTATTTACATTGTGTGGACTATTTTGTTGCATTCAGTTAGCGTCCACAGATTTGTTGAAATTTTGGTAACCGAGGAAGCTCAATTTAATTGAACCTTGAGTCAGGTCCGTGAATTTTAAGCCAACGTAAACTGGGTTTCCTAGAAATAGTGGCGGGTATGTCAGATTTAGGCTACTGGAATGGGTCTCTCTCTCTCACACACATTCTTTTACGTTTCATTATTTACGGCAAAATATGTTAAAAACTGACAATTTCCTCTCCAATTATTTTACTGCGCCATAGTTTGTACATGTAGTAATGCAAAGAGTAATGGAGAAATTTCACAATCACGATTTAAGTGAAGATTGATCAGGTTTTTAATTAAAATTGTATGTAAATTAGAATTAATATTTACCAAACCACACACTAGAAGATGAAAGATTAATACTAGGATTAATACATTTAAACAAATAAATAATAAATGAAAAGCGAACAAGTTGTATTCAAATTTAGTAAAAAAAATATAATATAGGTTAGAAGAAGCAGTAACAGTAATTTACCAGGTTTTATACAAATGTCTTAAATTAATTGGGGCAACAATTAAACAGTAAAATAATCGAATTTTGTTTCATATTAATGATACAGTGGTGAATAATTTAGAATATACGCGTATGTATACTGTATTAGTCTTTTCAGGATGAAAATATAACATAGGCTATGAAATTTAGGCCGTAGTGAGTTCCACTTTTGTAACAAACTGCTGAACATGGCTTGATAATAATAATAATAATAATAATAATAATAATAATAATAATAATAATAATAATATTTTGGGATGAAACGTGAAATATCTTATCGCTATACCATTTTTTTATTGCGGGGGGGGGAAGGGGGTATTAGATCCAGTTAGGTTATTCATGTCTACATTTTAGCCCTGAAACCAATTTGTCAATCATTTTATATTCAGGCTTCCAATAAGTGCCCAGTATATAGTTTCACCCTGCCCAGGGTTCGATATCAGACCATTCTCTTCTGAAAGAGGGAGTAGGAGAGGGTATTGTAATTTTGGGTTATATAATTGGAAATAGAGAGATACAGGAGGTTGGGTGTAGGAAGGCCGTGTCAGTAACTACGCTGGTGGTTTTGCAGACAAAAAGCCACATATCAAGAAGCCGCTGAACGCCTTCATGTTGTACATGAAGGAGATGAGAGCCAAGGTGGTGGCAGAGTGTACCTTGAAGGAGAGCGCTGCCATCAATCAAATACTGGGACGCAAGGTTGGTTGGTGCATGCCTTGCCTCTATATTTTATTATTCCTTACATATGTTTTATATATCAATTCATTCAAATTGGAATAGATGTTTTTATATATTGTATTTTATATTTGGATCATTACTCTCCTAATGGTAGTAGTGGTTAAGTAGAGGGGGTTGATCTGCGAAGTCTGACATGGGTGCCCGTGGGACCTCTTCTCACATTTTCACACCAATAGACGCGGGTCTAGGTGAAAACACTTGCCTGGCCCCTTGTGTCCAAGGAATGGGTTGTGGACCTTGTTGTTTTACGATATTAAGATAAAGTAAGGGAGGGGGTGTCCACTCCCAGTTCTAACTGTTGCTGACTGTATTGGCTACAGTGGCATGCGCTGAGCAAAGAGGAGCAGTCCAAGTATTACGAAATGGCCAGACGGGAGAGACAACTACACATGCAGATGTACCCAGGGTGGAACGCGCGCGACAATTATGGCATGATGAAAAAGAAGAAGAGAAAGAAAGAAAAGACTGGTGATGGAGGTAAAGAACAATGACTTGAATGTTGTGCGAGGCGCGAGGGCTGGGCCCAGACGTCCGTCCGTTAAGGCCTCCAGTCATTGCCACAACACCAACACCTCCAGCCTCCTTCACCCCCTACAGCAGGAGACTCGCCATTGGTGTTGTGTTGCCGGCCTCTGGTACCCCATCCCTCGCGCTCAGCGTTGTCGACCACTAATCTTCATTTAACTTTCCCTGCAGTGGCATGCGCTAAGCCGCGAAGAACAAGCCAAGTACTATGAAATGGCGCGCAAAGAGCGTCAGCTTCACATGCAGATGTACCCAGGGTGGTCCTCACGCCAAAATTACTCGCAGGGGAAAAAGAAGAAGCGTAACCGTGACAAAACCCAAGATGGAGGTAGCTAACTGCCGTACACAAAGGCTTCCCTCTTAAGCAACTCAGTTCCAAATGCTGGTCGGTTGCACAGTGTGTTAGGGGGGGCGGGGGTGCCTCGTTGGTGGTGGTGCCCCTCCTGGCTGAGCCGCGTCAAGGGGGCACCTTATGGTAGGCCAACCACCTGCCAGGGGTGCCACGATACCACCTGTTAGGGGGTGCCACACGGCACCACCTTACAGGGGGTGCAACCTGGTTTCACCTGCCTGGGGCTACCACAAAGCACCACCTGCCAGTGGGTGTCACGGCACCACCTGCCAGTGGGTGTCACGGCACCACCTGCCAGTGGGTGTCACGGCACCACCTGCCAGTGGGTGTCACGGCACCACCTGTCAGTGGGTGTCACGGCACCACCTGTCAGTGGGTGTCACAGCACCACCTGTCAGTGGGTGTCACGGCACCACCTGTCAGTGGGTGTCACGGCACCACCTGTCAGTGGGTGTCACGGCACCACCTGTCAGTGGGTGTGACACAGTACCACCTGCCAGTGGGTGTGACACAGTACCACCTGCCAGTGGGTGTGACACAGCACCACCTGCCAGTGGGTGTGACACAGCACCACCTGCCAGTGGGTGTGACACAGCACCACCTGCCAGTGGGTGTCACACCACCTGCCAGTAGGTGTCACGGCACCACCTGCCAGTGGGTGTCACGGCACCACCTGCCAGTGGGTGTCACGGCACCACCTGCCAGTGGGTGACACACAGCGCCACCTGGACGCCCGCCCTCCCAAACCACTCGCTCCACCACATCTCTCATGGTTCCAAATTTCCATATTAGCTTCACTCTTAACTTATTCATTAATGTCAACTTTTACTTGAATGTTATTATATGTTTTGCTTTTGTCTTTTTTGCTGCCTGTTTGCATATACATTCATATTTCTATTTTCTTAATAAATTGACGTTGCTTAATTGGATTGTTGCCGAATGTTTCTGCTATTTTGATTATTACAATTACCCATTATATTTTTCCATATCATATAACTAGGCTGAATGTTTACTTCTTGCTGGCATTTAGTCATCTCTCAGTCACGAGCAAAGGCCTCGTGAATCTCCACTGTTATTTTCAGTAGCATCTTTGAGCAGGCAGGTTGATGCCATCATTTGGTTTTGTCACTGTCATTTTGCTTCACTGCATAGCCACTGGGAGAGTCAAATGAAGATGTTATGAAAATAACACTGCAGATCAACATGACAATACAAGTCTGAATCTGCTTTGTCTCAATCAAATTGCTCTCAATGCATGAATACCTTTACTGTTAAGATTGATTGATATATCTTGTGCCTATTAGCATGTTTTGAGTTGTTTATTGTTTGTGAATATAGAGATAAAGGGTTGTCTAGCCAAGTGCTGTTGAGATATGGGAGTGCTGGCGGGTTTGGTCTGGTGTCTAATTGCCGTCCTTGTCCCCCCAGCTAATATGAAGAAGTGTCGGGCGCGGTACGGGCTGGAGCAACAGAGCCAATGGTGTAAACCTTGCAGGTAAGGTTCCAGCTACACCGGCCTCACCACTCACCAACTGGTGTGTGTGTGTGTGAGTGTACTCCATCCTCTCACTCCAGTCTATCACACGCACACACTACCTCAGTCTCTCTCCCTCCTCTCTCTGCTCCCTCCCTCTTCCCTTTCTCTCTGCTCCCTCACCCTCCTTTCTTTCTGCTCATTTCCCCTCTGTCTCTTTTCTGGCAATCACTCCCTACTCCCCCCCCTCACTCGTGGTTATTACAATCATATTCAGTGCTTTAGATCCTATTTAGTTTTATCGTGTGTTGCTGCTGCACTTACTTTACATTTTTCTTCACAATTACATCTCAAATGAAGGCATCATGGTGGCCCATTGAAGCTTACATAAGGCATCCCTGCAAGCTTCACACTGGGGGGGGGGGGGGAGCCTCTTGAGGTAATAGCATTAACTTGAGCCGTTTAACAATTGGTTGGGCAGGTTGCCTCGGTTTGTGCTTTTTTTTAGAGAGTTATTTTCCATTATCACTCTTTAATTTGTCTTTATATCTCTCCTACCTCCTGGTCCACTCTACACTTGCCTCTCGCTCCCCCTTTCCGCGTCTGCCCTTTCATTTGCTTTGTCCTTCCACCTGTTTCTCTCTCATTCCCTCATCTATTGCTGTTGCCCATCCCTCCCATTCTTTGTCCTAGCCCTCCCTCCCATTCTTTGTCTCACCCTTCCCTTTCTCTCTCTCTCTCCCTCCCCTTTCTATATCTGTATTTCCTTACCAGTATATATATATATATCTTTCTATATATATATTTTTTCCTTACCAGTATATATATATATCTTTCTATATATATATTTTTTCCTTACCAGTATATTCCTATTACCAGTATATATATAATCTCTCTGAATTAACTATATCTCTCTGTTTTCTAATTCTTTGCTCTTTGTTGCGCTATCCTTCTTATTATTTCTTTACTTCAACTTTGACATTTTACCTTTACATGAACCATTTGTTACTGGCGTATTGAGCAGGTGTTTTGCAGGTGTACCAAGATGCCTTTAGGTTACCTCCACAACATTTTCAACTCTTGCGACTTTGTGAATCACGAGACATTTCACATTCTTGTGTTTCTGTAACGCTATTAAGACTTCTCCACTCCACCTATCTTTCTGTGTGTGTGTATGACCATTAAGACATGTAATTAATCCTTTCCTTTGTATTGTAAGACAACAAATTGGCATTTTCCTTTTCAAGCGCATTACTAACATCTGTACTGAAAATCAGCGTGTTTATAAACTAACCATTTTTCATCAGAAATAGACTAACATAGAATCTGTTGTTAAAAAATAAACTAACAGAGAAGCTGTCATCAGAAATAGACTTAACATAATCTGTTGTGAAAATTGTGCCCTGAGCTCTACTTGTGTGGCAGTTCATATACACGACACCACGAGTCTCACCTCTCGCCTGAAATAAAATTCCTTATATTATATATATATAAATATTTTAACATAAGCTAAAGTTTCACAAAATTCATCTTGTAACCCTTTTCCTCTCCCTCCGTGTACTTTTCCCAACCCTTATGAACGGTTTATATTTTGTGGGCCATTAGTGTTTAGTATTGTGGAACATTTAAACTTTCATAAACACACATTGATATCCAACATTTGAAAGAATTGTCCCGTCTTCAGACTGTGTTTGTCAAGCTGCTTGAACTAAATATATCTGTATTGTTGTATATATATATATGTCTCTTCATTCCTAGTCATTCATTCTCTAGCGATGTAGTACTCATTGAATGATTTAGTTTTTTGTGTAGAATTGTGTACTTAATATTTCCTAAGTTGTGTGTTTACATAAGAATTAGTGGTAGCTATGCTATGTTCCCCTGTTTGTACCCATAATGCATGCCATGTTCATTGTACCCTATCCCATTTGTGACAGTCACCGTAATAGGGCAGTTGCAGGCCGAATTTTATTGTAGTAGAGTCGAATATGAAATATTATTTAAGGGAGAGTATTAAATTGTTACTCCAGTAGATGCCATAATTATGTACAAAATGGGCATCAGTTTTGTTTATTATTTATGATTTGTAGATTTGTCAGTACTGCATATTTGACTTTCATATTACTGTACTACACAGATGACTATATGAATACAGTACAGTACTGTCAATATTTAGATTTTGTGTAAGGCATTATTTCACACACTGTACAGTAATACTGTAGTCGCATTACACTTTCCTCAGTGTAAAACAAAAATTGAGTTTTTCTTATAAATTGTCCATAATTCCTTGTACAGTTCACTAGTAATAAACTTTTAAGAACAAAATACGTTTTGCAGATTTCTTACTTCAGTAAAACATGGTCATACAAAACAGTATTTTACAGACAAGTAATAGTGCCTTCCACATTGGTTTGATAATAATCTGTAGTCATCACTCGGCATCCTTTGATAATGGTATGATAGTCCGAGTTTGTCTAGTGTTTTGTGAACTTGAACTGTTCACTTAGTCTTTCTCACTAGCATTCTTTAATTTATTGATTTTTACCTAGAAATATTATTTCTGTGAATGTATATTTTTGTTAACTACATTACTTTGTTCATACATATCAGATACGAACTTCACATCAATTTCAAAATTTCAAAAGTGATTGTTTATTTTGTAATTTGTACTTGCCATTTTTTGCCATTTCATATAATAGAAACAATAATAATTTGCTCTTTTCATAAACTTGATATTAAAGAGAATATTCTATCTGATGTCTGACAGGGCCAGTGTTCCTATTTGTGTTCATATTTTACCTAAACCTATGTATATGATTTTATTGCATCATGTATAGATAATGCATTTAATTTTTCATGTTTATTTGTTGTATTTTGTGTATCAGTTTTATTTTCAATACCTGTTTTTGTCATTTTACTAAATTATATTTTGTAAGTACTGTACTGTAATTCAATTAATTTTCAATGCTTACCGAATCCTTTGTTTCTCCTCCTCCTCCTTATCTTGATCTTTCTTCTCTCATTACTGTTCTCTTACAACATATTAGCATGAATGTGTAATATTGCTGTAATTTTTTTTCTTTGTTAATTTTGCCAAGAGAAAAATTTCTTAAAAACAGGACTTGACAACAACAGTGATTGAGTTTTAGGTCATGCACTTGCTGTCCCACATCTGTAGGTTCTGGTGCTGGAGTGTGTTGGAACCCATGTCAGTGTTTATTAGTTTATGTCCCTATGATGTGAAATAAACTTAAACATATGACATGAGATCAACACACACTTGCCTTTACCTGTTCATCTTGCAACTTGAGTTATGTATGCGCTTCAGTGCTTATTGCAAAAGCAGCTTTTTCCCCCCCACGTTCATGTGGTGGTTATTAATGAATGTGCATGCTTTCGTATCTTGTTATCTAACACTTATGATAAGTACTGCATATATGTAGATGGGTGTATGAGTGGGCAATTATCATCCAAGAGTGCTTGCCTTTTAGATTTGGAATTTGTAATAATACAGTACTGTACTATGTATTTGCCATTTCATCAATGCTTATTTGTGTTTCTCAAACTTTTGCAACCGAGAATGTGAGCATTACTGAAAAGCTGTTCTTGCAATTATAATCAATTAGCCATATTAAACAAATATATAATTGTTCTTGGATGATAAAGTCAGTTGAGGAGTGAAAGGGACCCTGGCAAAAGGTCTCACTGTTCCATCTTTGTGTGCCATTAGATGTTTTTGCCTTAAATTTTTGTGGTGGGTGTGTGAGAATGGTTGTGAGCACGGTGTAAAAAGGGGACTCAGTCTGGCCTTGTTGCTGCCCATGTTCCCATAGTCTCACCCGCGCTCACACACCCTGCACTTTGTCCCGCCCATTGTCGTCCTCTCTAAAACTCATATTCTTCAACAGCATCAGAAAATGTGTCTTTCCCTCATCTTAACCTTTAATTCATAGTCCCCAAACTATATTGGTGAGAACTTTTGCTTGAGTGCCCAAGACCAAAGTTAGTCTGACTGAAGGGGCAAATGTGCCACAATTAACTTCTCTTTGCACTCAGCATGTGTATAGCTGCAGGTGCATTGAGGCATGGCTAACCCTTGAACTGACACATTTTCTGATTACTGGTGCAGGGTTCAATGGCAGTCAGGTGATGGTGAGGCTCTGAGCCAGGGCAGTGTGTATGGTTATGGTGGTGCCCCTTAGTCTCTAACCTTGGTCTCTCTCCCGGGCCCGCAGCCCTGCTGTGTCGCTAGCATCGGGGGTGGGCCTCCCTGGGGTCCCCTCTTCCCTGCTGGGAGCTGCTGGGGCCTCTGGAGGTGTGGCTGCTGCAGCTGCAGCTGCTGCAGCCACGTCTGGGGCGGTCATTGTATCACTAACTCAGGGTGCTAGCCCTGCAACTTTGACCCCTCTGGCTCCCTCAGCAGCCTCCCAAGTAGGCACGGGGGGCCCTAGCTACAGCCCCGCACCAGGTACCCCCATACACTCCATCGTTAACTTAAGTACCAGCACCAGCAGCAGCAGCAGCAGCAGCACAACCAACAACAGCAACACCAACAACAACAACAACGGAAGCAGCAGTGGTGTCTCCTCTCCTTCTGAACCTACCTATGTTAATCTCTAGTCTGTGAGTCTCTTCACTGTGCTGTGAACTGCTGTGGCGGATCTTGAACATTTAGGCAAGGAGCAATGCTTTTCAAACTATTAGGGGCCTTGTTATTTAGCAATTCAATATCCATCACACGCAGAATAATCACGTGAGTGTCTTGTAGTGATTCATCTTGTTTTCATTTTACAGGTTTTGTTTTGTTTGTATTATCCATTGTTATGCATGCTTATATGTACAGAGGTAACACAATTTCCATTAATTATCTCTTTTTTTCTTTCTTTTACTAATGTACTGACCAACCAGAATAAGAAAAATCAAGTCTTTGTAATGTTCCAGCCACATTAATTTTATTTTATTGCTCTTGATGCATGTTATGTATTTTTTTTTTCTTTTATTTACAGGATGTGGGCAGTAGCTGCATGAGTAGACGTTTTGTTATGTTAATATGATGCATGTACATTTTTTATTGATTTATTTAAATGTACCACTCAGAATTGCTTTACAAAATTTTGTTTATTGCAGGCGAAAGAAGAAATGTATTCGATATATGGAAGGAGAGGAAGGTGAGGACATGGCGCCAGGGTCAGCTGACAGTGTAGATGCCTCGCAGGAAAGTGATGATGACGATGATCTACAAGACCTGTCGTCCCCCTCCACTGCATTGGCGGGAGACCACACCGCCACCTCCCCTGCATCCTCAAGTCTGATGCCCTCTCCTGGGCCTTCTCTGGCATCACCGTCAGGGCCGCCCTCATTGCTCATGCCGTCGCCAGCCTCCTTGGCTTCCCCTTTAACGCCGGGGGAGGTCACCCCTCTACAGATGAACCAAGTTCCCCAGATCCCACATCCTCAACGGCCCCCAGTGGGCACAAATCCCCGTGACATCAATAATCCTCTTAGTGTGAATCAGTTGACTGGCCAGTGTGCTAGTAACAAACCTGAAGCCGGGTCTCAAGACTCCTCCCATCCTACCATGGTGAGCGTCACATGACCCACTGCAACCCTAGATACCCACGCCCACATGCTGTGCTGGACACGCCCACCCCCATACATACACCATGCTTTCTTACACGAGAAAGTGCTATAATGGCGTACCAGGAGTTTATACCAGTGTATTGCGGCTGATACATGGGTGTTCGTCTGCTATTCAGGACCCAAATTTAAGCTCCACGATGGGCATGTGCCAGTACAGTCACCAATACCTCAGTGTCAAGAGTGTGGCTGAAGACAAAGACTTGTGGCCCCCTGTTTGGCACCATCCCTGTAAATAATTGTTCCTTCACATCATGAATCAACCCTTCATTGTATCACACACAGCAGTGTTAGATACCGTACTCTAAAGCTGCAAAGCCAGCCGTTCACTTCGTTCTATTCTGCAACATGGAAAATTTTGTATGCAAATTAAAGAAAATTTTATTACAAAATACAAACTCTATACCAGGCAAAATATTATATAACATTGTTAAGTGTTTAAATATATATATGTATAATAATAATAATATTTTAAACACACACACACACACACACATACACACACAAACACACATACATAGTCAATAATCAAGGTAATTGTGCATATTTATGAGCCCAAACTTAGCCAGTGTTGAGCTGAGTACAAAGATTAGTCATTTGTTTTGACTTCAGATGTGAAAGGATCCAAGTGTGACAGTTACCTCTTTCTGGTGATGAACAGGTGCACCTGTGACAGCCTGGACTGCTTACCCTCTTGATGAATCTGTTTCAGATACTGTAAAATGCTTCTTGCTCTGTATGAAGTACACAATTTTGAAGCTCAAATGTGTTTCTAATGTCATCATAAACAAACATCTGTCAGTATGATATGAAGTAACTACAGTAGTGTTAAAATGGTTTGTGGCTTTATACTATTATGGGCTATTACTTTGGTAAATTTTATTTTACTTATTTCAGTTATTGAAGAAGGCCACTGTCTTCAGTAACTGATAACATTGTATCCATGCAGTGCAAATTTGATAACCCACCTGAACTAACAGTGGAAAAATATTCATGTTAAATAAGGAATTTGTTTGTATGCTGTCAAAAATGGACTGTTATTAGTGAGCTTTTATTTCTTGTTATTTTTTTAAACACACCTGTGTGAGAGATATACATAAACTATATCTTATCAGCTTACTTCATCTGGCATGATTAACGATATATTGTATGTAATATAATTTACTGTAATATCTTTTTTTTTTTTTTTAATGTGTCGCCAGAGCAATACCTGTTGAAGCACTTAAGGGAGACAATTTATTAATTATTATTCAGATTATATTGAATGGGATATCTGAGGCGGTGACACAATACATTCATAACTAGTTCTGGCTAGAGTTGGTGCGGTACGAGCCAGGACCAGTATTGCTACGTGAGCCCTCTGCACCTAGCTGTGTGGTGTGTCTGGCAGCTCCGGGGGTCACGTAAGCAGCTCCTGTGATTTTTATGCTTTATGTAGGCTCACACACATGTATATCTGTCCAATTTTGCATAGTACTGTTTTGTATTTCTGGCTTGTGATCACCTAAAGCAAATGCTATAAAAGAATCACTACTCACTTTTAGAAAGCAGTGTTGATGTGCTGAGTGTATAAGGCCAACAATGTATGATGTGTACATTACTGAAAATATTTTTATTGTTTATGAGCACAAGTAATCAAGATTTTTATTCATTTTAAATAACTTAATAAAGACAAATTAAAGAATACGAGCACAGTGCTTGGCTGGCTACATTGTCTTCACTATTCACCTTTTAAAGACGTCTTTCCACCCCTGTGATCTAATTTTTCAAAGGGGGATATCGAGCTTCAAATAAATGTAACTTATCGGGAATAGAACTGTTTATCAAGGAAACTTTCATGGAAAGGGACTTTAACTTCACGGACACTTCTGTATGTATCCACGGCACTGTAAGCAGGACTCTCAGAGGAAAACAACACCTGTCAGTCACTGCCAATGCAGTGGCAAACTTTCTGGTACTAAGACTGTATTAATCCAGAACTAGCAGCTTTAATAATATCTTAACTAACAACACTACAACTGAACCCAATTACATATAAAATGCGTTATAACCCGAGTTCACCGAGATGAACGTGAAGAATAACCACTCGTGAAAGGTTGAGAGATGTCCCATTATGTGAAAGAGCCGTCACACTCTGAACTGTTCAGCTCTAGGTAAGTTACTGTAGGAGGGCATTAAATGTTGAAATAACTTGAACTTTGGTGGTGTGCAGTTATGAGAAAATTGTAAATTTGGCTGGTCTCGTGGAGATCACATTTCATTTTGTATATTGTGAGTTTTTTGTATGTGTGGGACCTGTAAGCTTTGCAGATTTTCACCATTATTAATTTAATTAAATTCCACAAATACAACATGTTTTAATTTTTTGCTCTTGTGAGGCACATCCATGGCAGTGTTGCAGGCTCAGTGTCCAGTGTTGTAAATCAACACATCTCTCTTAATCAAGATCCACCAACTGGTACAAGGAGCATAACAATGTCTGAGTTGGCTACACTGCCTGGTAATTGACTTATATCCCAAGCTCAGGGCAGCTCAAGGTGGCCATCTGGGGATAACCTAGAACTTTACTCTCATAGTATACCAACTTTCCAAATGCCAAATTGGCAAAACATATGCAAAGTAATTTTAAATCGTGCATTTTTAATACATTTCACCTCTCAACTTGTCTATTTGTAATGTACGTGCACATTGCTTCCAAAAATTTATTAATACATCTTCTATCATTCTACATGTACTGTACAGGCTTTCCATATCTAATAACTGTTCAGTTATTTCTTTAATGACAAATTTGTTATTTTCTGCTTCTATATCTGCTCATCAATAATAACACTTTCAGAATTAAATTTTAAGATTTTTTTTTAATTTATTTCCAATAACACACTGAAAACTGTTTCAATTATTTTTATACACTTGCAACAAATATTTGCTCTTCTCGAGTCTTAATCCAAACAAGTAATTATCAGAACAGACGTCAAGCCGGGAAAACTATTAACTTAATCCTTATAAATGTTTTTATTTTGTTTGTAACGTTAACAAATAACTAATATTTTATATTCATCCAGTTATAAACCAACAAATATTATAATTGCTATATTTCTGTGTTGTCATCATAGCTTAGCATTTTCTTTACGTAAATTACTTGCTTTTTCCCACCTTTGATAATTACTTTTCACACTCTAAATAACAAGATTGAGCCATTAATTACTTTCATTCCAGTCTCTCACCTTTCTCTCATGCCACCAACTCTAGAATCCTACCTAAAATAAAAGGGCTTGAACTCTGATTCACACAGCTAAGCATCCTCACCCACATCATCCACACCCACCCCCAATAATGTGTGAACATTTTTAACAATAAAATAATTTAAGAAATGGATTTCATGGCAGTTTTAATACGATGACGGGTGGGTTGGGATAACAATGTGTGGGGCTAGTCTCATGGAAAGCACCTTACCAGAGCTGCAACAAGTATCAAGAATGTATCTTTTTAGCATTTCACAGTCCCTAGGTAAAATGGTCAGTTTTGTGTGATGTTGATGTTAAGTAATGTATATATGATTGAATGTTATTATTTGGTTTTTCACTGTTTCACTCTAGAAGGCTGTTGTATCTTTTTCCATAAGCAGTCAGTGTAGCTGTGAATGTGATTGTTCTTCACTGTGCCAATCTACCTGTGGCCCCCAGCTGGTAAAAAAACTGGTCCCAGGTCCTTTTTGTAAATATGGTATTATATTTAGCTAGTATTCTATTCCAAGAGAATTGTAATTGCCAGACAATCATCGTTCACATTTCAGCTTGTCTCCTCTAGGACAGCCTGAATCATTTTTGTTGTATTTTTGTAAACCCTATTTCAGTTCATGTATGGACAGACCATCTTGTATGAGGCATTGTCACAGTTTGTTGAAAACAAAAAATGCGATGTACAGAAGACAGTCGTTTAGAGAATTGTTCATGTAAATAGCATGTAGTGAATAAATCAGTTTCATAAGAGACGACATTTTTATGAATTTCCAGCTAAAGCAACAAGCCATTACCATTTTTAATTCAAGTCGGATAATGATGGTAGGTGGCCGTGTAAAGCATATGGGAGAGAACAAATGTAATTAATATTAGTTTTTTCCCTGCACAGTTTCTATGGAGTTTCAATCAGCCATCTGATTCATGCCCAGCTGCCTGGCTTGTGCCCAGCCAGGGGTGGATTTAGACAGGGTGAAACAATAAGCTATGGGAAGCTGTCGAGGTCCTATTTGACAACTGTTAACAGAGAATACGGCTGTGTAACAAATGAACTTGGTAGGAATTGGCTGCAAGATGCATGACAAATTCATGTGGAAAAGGACTGCTCCTTTAGAATGTTAAAAAAAAAGTCTTTAAATTACCCAGTTTCAAGACTGAATGTTTAAAATTTCTATGAGTAAAATAGCCTTGTAAACTTTTAATTTAATATAATATGAATATAATAAAAATTGAATTGAATATAATGAAATATTGAATATAATTTGTAACTATAACATGATTAACAATGATGGAACATAAGAACTATTAATTAGGTTAATATAAATTATAATAAATTTATTATAATAAACTTAAATATATATTATAATAAAACAAACAAGAAACTGAAAGGTGCCCTTCAGACAGAGACCCTTGGCTGTAACTTGTTTTGCTCGAGTCTAAATCCGGCCCTGCTTCTCACCGAATGAAGGTTGCATACTATATTCCCATTTATGTCTGTCAAATAATTTATTTTTCTAATTTATTTAATTTCTAACTCTGCTTCCTTTTTAATATAATAAACCTTGATAATGATGCCCTTTTTATTTGTATAGCTGAAGGAAGTTGACAAATACTTTGCATTACAGGGTTTTGTAGATGTTTAAGAGAAACTGCATTGTTTTTCTTACTCCATATGAGATGACAAACTTATTTGCACAGGAAGGAAAATATATACAGTACAGTATAGTAAATTACTATTGCAGCTTGGGATCCCATATGTATCATCCTACTCATGACTCCTTGTAATCATATTTGCTAAATTACATACACTGTATTTTACTGTACATTACTTTTCACTTTTTTTTTCTCTTCCTTGGATTCATGAGAAGAAATCTGCATTTCCACATCTTCCTCACTTCAGTCTTCAAATTTCTACATTAGTCACTTCATAATGTTGCTGCATTAACACTGTTTTTGTCCAAGATGTTGTTGAAAGATGAACTCCGTTGGTTTAATTAGGTATTGTGCCAACCAAGTAACTAGGATTGATGCATCGTCTCTCTCATTTATGTCAATTTCAGGTAAAGAAGAATATAAAGTGAAGCACACTGTTCAGTATCTTCATTATCTCACTTATGCAGCTTCAATCCCTATTTCTTCCAGTAGACCGGCAGTAAACAAAAATGATTAATATAAAGTGTGAGTTGCTTAACCCTTTAACTATGTATCACAATCAGGAAAGTAATCATCTTTACTCCGTAAACTGCACGTCACAATCAGGGATGTATTAAAACATCGCGTAAGATTTAAAAGTCCGTGGGTACGCAGGTCTCATATCTGTAATCGTGGGCACCCTTTCCTGGACGTGAGGGACTCTGTACTAACACAGTAACCATAAATAGTGCATGCTGCTGCTGCTGCAGCTCATAGCCATATCATTACTTAATGATATAAATAATTTAAATTATTTATCAAAGATAATGACAGTCTTTATCACTGTCACAGTCATCTATGTACAAGGTTCAGATAATAATGAATCTGATACTGGTGGTGGTGATGACAGTGCGAGGCAGACAACCACAGCACACAACTGCAGTTTGATGCATCTATGCATCATGCAACAGGGAATTTATGTTTCATTAAAAAATGAACACTTGAAAAGTGGTTCATATTCAGGATTTAGTGACAAGGATTCTGATAATAATAATGTAATAGCAAAAACAATGTGTTTTTGTTTCATAGGAATATAATACTGGACATTTATTAATGACATGATTGTATTTGTGTGTATAAATGTTTTGCATGTTTTATTCTATAAATTTCTCAAATTACTGTACATAATATTCCATAATAAAATTGCAAAAAAAAAAAATGGAAAACAAATCAGTGACCACTCAAGTAAATCAGAAGACATATTCATGATCAGGAAACATGTTTTAACAAAATTACAAGAAAAAATAAATTTTCAGATTTTATATTTTTCTTGCAACCCAGTTAGGGCGCCTGATAGCTGGGTGGACAGGGCTTCGGATTCGTAGTCCTGAGGTTCCGGGTTCGATTCCCGGTGGAGGCTGAGACAAATGTGCAAAATGTTTCTTTCACTGTGGTGGAGGCGGTGGCGTTGCTGTGCTGGTAAAAGAACACCTAAAGGTGAAGGAAATAATGACTGCCAATCCACAAGAAGTTGACATAATAGCACTAGAGATCTGCTATGAGGATGATAAACTAATGATGATAAATGCATATAGTCCACCGCCAAGCAGCACATGGTCAAAGGAGGAGCTAGATAGTAAACGTGAAGGTCTTATAACAATAATGAGAGAGATTATAGCGAGAGCGGATAACGATAGATCACGACTGTTGATAGTCGGTGACTTCAACTTGAAATCCATAGACTGGGAAGCATATGAAGCTAAAACAGAAGATTTTTGGACCTGTAAATTTGTAGACCTCATCCTGGAAACATTCTTGTATCAACATGTTAAACAAGCTACGAGGATGAGGGAAGGGGACGTTCCCTCCATGCTAGATTTGATATTTACCAGGAAGGAGGAAGAGATATTTGACATTCAGTACCTTCCTCCCTTGGGTAAAAGTGACCATGTCTTTTTGGGAATAAAGTATGCAATGCGTTATAAGCTGGAAGAAAATAAGGAGGTTGAAGCAGTTGAAAAACCAGACTTCAGGAGAGGACATTATGGTGACCTTAGAAATTTTTTTAGTGAGTATAATTGGACAGACTTGATGCTAGGCAAGGAAGTGAATGAGATGTATGGCAAGTTTTGTGAAATATATGATAAAGGCACAAAAAAATTTATACCAAAACAGAGATGCAGAACTAGGAAACAGGATTGGTTCAATAGAAATTGCGAGAGGGCTAGAGACCGAAAGACACAAAAATGGAATCAATACAGGAAGAGGCCGAACCCCCAAACATACCAGCGATACAAAGATGCGAGAAACAACTACACGGCAGTGAGGAGAGAGGCAGAAAGAAATTTTGAAAAAGGGATTGCGGACAAATGTAAAACAGAACCAGGTCTATTCTATAAATTCATAAACAACAAATTGCAGGTAAAGGATAATATTCAGAGGTTGAAAATGGGAAATAGATTCACGGAAGATGAAAAGGAAATGTGTGAAACACTAAACGAAAAGTTCCAAAGTGTGTTTGTACAAAATGAAATCTTTAGGGAACCAGATACAATAAGAATTCCAGAGAACAACATAGAACACATAGAGGTGTCTAGAGACGAAGTGGAAAAAATGCTCAAGGAGCTCGGTAAGAACAAAGCAGCTGGCCCAGATGGCGTTTCACCATGGGTTCTGAGAGAATGTGCATCTGAGCTCAGCATTCCACTTCACCTGATCTTTCAGGCATCCCTGTGTAAAGGAATCGTAGCAGACGGGTGGAAACAGGCTAACATAGTTCCAATCTACAAAAGTGGCAGCAGGGAAGACCCCCTCAATTATAGACCTGTATCATTGACAAGTGTAATAGTGAAAGTATTGGAAAAACTAATCAAAACTAAATGGGTAGAACACCTAGAGAGAAATGATATAATATCAGACAGACAGTATGGTTTTCGATCTGGAAGATCCTGTGTATCGAATTTACTCAGTTTCTATGATCGAGCCACAGAGATACTACAGGAAAGAGATGGTTGGGTTGACTGCATCTATCTGGACCTAAAAAAGGCTTTCGACAGAGTTCCACATAAGAGGTTGTTCTGGAAACTGGAAAATATTGGAGGGGTGACAGGTAAGCTTCTATCATGGATGAAAAATTTTCTGACTGATAGAAAAATGAGGGCAGTAATCAGAGGCAATGTATCGGAATGGAGAAATGTCACAAGTGGAGTACCACAGGGTTCAGTTCTTGCACCAGTGATGTTTATTGTGTACATAAATGATCTACCAGTTGGTATACAGAATTATATGAACATGTTTGCTGATGATGCTAAGATAATAGGAAGGATAAGAAATTTAGATGACTGTCATGCCCTTCAAGAAGACCTGGACAAAATAAGTATATGGAGCACCACTTGGCAAATGAAATTTAATGTTAATAAATGTCATGTTATGGAATGTGGAATAGGAGAACATAGACCCCACACAACCTATATATTATGTGAGAAATCTTTAAAGAATTCTGATAAAGAAAGAGATCTAGGAGTGGTTCTAGATAGAAAACTATCACCTGAGGACCACATAAAGAATATTGTGCAAGGAGATTATGCTATGCTTTCTAACTTCAGAATTGCATTTAAATACATGGATGGCGATATACTAAAGAAATTGTTCATGACTTTTGTTAGGCCAAAGCTAGAATATGCAGCTGTTGTGTGGTGCCCATATCTTAAGAAGCACATCAACAAACTGGAAAAGGTGCAAAGACATGCTACTAAGTGGCTCCCAGAACTGAAGGGCAAGAGCTACGAGGAGAGGTTAGAAGCATTAAAAATGCGAAACTAGAAGACAGAAGAAAAAGAGGTGATATGATCACTACATACAAAATAGTAACAGGAATTGATAAAATCGACAGGGAAGACTTCCTGAGACCTGGAATTTCAAGAACAAGAGGTCATAGATTTAAACTAGCTAAACACAGATGCCGAAGAAATATAAGAAAATTCACCTTCGCAAATAGAGTGGTAGACGGTTGGAACAAGTTAAGTGAGAAGGTGGTGGAGGCCAAGACCGTCAGTAGTTTCAAAGCGTTATATGACAAAGAGTGCTGGGAAGACGGGACGCCACGAGCGTAGCTCTCATCC